TGGGACATCGACACAATTCTAACTTTTTTGGCTCTATACACCACCACAATGGATTTGAAATAAAACAAACAATATGTACTTTAACTGCAGACTGTCAGCTTTAATTTGAGGGTATTTACATCCAAATCAGGTGAACGGTGTAGGAATTACAACAGTTTGCATATGTGCCTCCCACTTGTTAAGGGACCAAAAGTAATGGGACAGAATAATAATCAAAATCAAACTTTCACTTTTTAATACTTGGTTGCAAATCCTTTGCAGTCAATTACAGCCTGATGTCTGGAACGCATAAACATCATCAGACGCTGGGTTTCATCCCTGGTGATGCTCTGCCAGGCCTCTACTGCAACTGTCTTCAGTTCCTGCTTGTTCTTGGGGCATTTTCCCTTCAGTTTTGTCTTCAGCAAGTGAAATGCATGCTCAATCGGATTCAGGTCAGGTGATTGACTTGGCCATTGCATAACATTCCACTTCTTTCCCTTAAAAAACTCTTTGGTTGCTTTGCAGTATGCTTTGGGTCATTGTCCATCTGCACTGTGAAGCGGCGTCCAATGAGTTTTGAAGCATTTGGCTGAATATGAGCAGATAATATTGCCCCAAACACTTCAGAATTCATCCTGCTGCTTTTGTCAGCAGTCACATCATCAATAAATACAAGAGAACCAGTTCCATTGGCAGCCATACATGCCCACGCCATGACACTACCACCACCATGCTTCACTGATGAGGTGGTATGCTTAGGATCATGAGCAGTTCCTTTCCTTCTCCACACTCTTCTCTTCCCATCACTCTGGTACAAGTTGATCCTGGTCTCATCTGTCCATAGGATGTTGTTCCAGAACTGTGAAGGCTTTTTTAGATGTCGTTTGGCAAACTCTAATCTGGCCTTCCTGTTTTTGAGGCTCACCAATGGTTTACATCTTGTGGTGAACCCTCTGTATTCACTCTGGTGAAGTCTTCTCTCGATTGTTGACTTTGACACACATACACCTACCTCCTGGGGAGTGTTCTTGATCTGGCCAACTGTTGTGAAGGGTGTTTTCTTCACCAGGGAAAGAATTCTTCGGTCATCCACTAGTTGTTTTCCGTGGTCTTCCGGGTCTTTTGGTGTTGCTGAGCTCACCGATGCGTTCCTTCTTTTTAAGAATGTTCCAAACAGTTGTTTTGGCCACGCCTAATGTTTTTGCTCTCTCTCTGATGGGTTTGTTTTGTTTTTTCAGCCTAATGATGGCTTGCTTCACTGATAGTGACAGCTCTTTGGATCTCATCTTGAGAGTTGACAGCAACAGATTCCAAATGCAAATAGCACACTTGAAATGAACTCTGGACCTTTTATCTGCTCATTGTAATTATGATAATGAGGGAATAACACACACCTGGCCATGGAACAGCTGAGAAGCCAATTGTCCCATTACTTTTGGTCCCTTAACAAATGGGAGGCACATATGCAAACTGTTGTAATTCCTACACCGTTCACCTGATTTGGATGCAAATACCCTCAAATTAAAGCTAATAGTCTGCAGTTAAAGCACACCTTGTTCATTTCATTTCAAATCCATTGTGGTGGTGTATAGAGCCAAAAATGTTAGAATTGTGTCGATGTCCCAATATTTATGGACCTGACTGTATCATAGCATATGATGCCGGTGCTAGAGAATCCTTGGTCCTTGCCACAAAGGTAAACTTGTTGTTAAACCTGGAGACCAGGATGTCCACATCTGGAGTCCCCATTTCCGATATAGAAGATTGAAGAGGTCGGGATGAAGGGACCGGCCATTTCCCGTTTTTCAGGCAGTGACTACTGAGGAAATCTGTCTTCAAATTGTTCATTCCCACTTTCTTTTCTTGGTAAATGGTAATGGACTTTTTTCATTATCAAAGGAATGCTGGCCCGACATAGTAAAAAAAAGGAAAAAAACTAAACTTTAGCTGCATATTTCTTGCTACTGCCATAATCTACCACCAAGGAACAACCTGAAATAAATTATCTGGCTTATTTGTTGTTTCTACCTGTAGTAAGACCCAGATTTTGTAATCCAAGTTACAGTGAGGAACAGAAGTATTTGAAAACCCTGTGATTTCTCCCCACTTAGAAATCATGGAGGGGTCTGAAATTCCCATTGTAGGTGCATTCCCACTCTAAGAGACAGAATTAAAAATAAAAATTCAGGAAATCACATTGTATGGTTTTTAAAGAATTTATTTGTCTTGCACTGCTGAACATAAGTATTTGAACAGCTAAGAAACAGCAAGAATTCTGGCTCTCATAGACCTGTTACTGTGCCTTTAAAAAGTCCAAATACTTCTGTTCCTCACTGTATATATTCTTCTTAAACATAATGGTTGTACCAAAGCAGATAGCTCTGTGTTCTGAACCATAACAAATAATTGGAGTCTCTAGTGTTGTTTCCTACAATGTGCAACTTGAAGACAAGTAACAGCATTATGGTGCAAACTATGTTTATTACACCTTCTATTTTATTACAAAAAGTAGTAACAAACAGTACAATATAGGAGTTTAAATAAATGAAATGGTGTAGTCTTTTCACAAGGAAAATGTATACAGAGATGAGACTGGAAAACAGGAATATAGAGGCTGCAGAGGCTTCCGAAGTCACTGATACAGTATATGTACAGCTATGTATACACATTACCTTACCGGTTTCAATGGACATAACTGCTTTTCATATGTTTGGTGATCTACAAGTGGCTCTCACATACCCCTGATGTTGCTCACAGCTGCTTCTCTGCAGGTGACCAGTATATACCTATGTGAACAACTGGTACATTATACTATCCTCTGAAAACAACCAGACATTATCTAATGTACTTTAACATTATGAGACAACAGTTTCTGTTTGACATCATTTTCACACTGAATGTGATCCATGACCATCTATTTCATTGTGGCTCAAAACAACTTGGACTGCTCTGCTCTTGGCAAATCACAGATGTAATTTATGCTATGGTGTCATCTTATAGGCAAAACATAATGATGGTGTCCTGGATTATCATAGAGACAGAATAATGGTGTTTAAAACATTCCACAATTTCTTCTACTATCCCATGACACTACTGATCCCCAGCAGTCTCTTGTTGCACCCCACCTTAGCCTCTATTTGAATAGAGCATTGTGCTTGATTTCACGGTACCTGACTGCTATTAAAGGGAAACTACAGTGTATTTTCAGTAAGAGCACATTTTATGTCATTGTTATTTTTACATAAACATAATTATGCAAGTTTCACATTTTTACTTACTTGCATATTTTAGGTATGGTATTTCATACAAACACAAGAACATGCTCCCTCTAGTGGTCACCCGTATGTACTGTTTTGATAGAGTGGAAAACTGTTAAAATCCCCATTTTTTTTTTTTTTTTTAACTATCGTCTGTGTCCCCGTTGGAAAGATTCATCACCTTCATTTATCCTGGTGGCAAATGTTACATGGACAGAAAGCAATAGAAAATTAAAAGGGTTCATTCGCACTATACTTGCAGCAAGCTGCATGGCAGCCTACACTAGTGAATAAAAGTGCATTGACCGTACATATTCACTTGCACAGCTGAGTTTAACAGGTACGCAAGCGCACAGTTCCTCCTGATGCAGAACCTGTACAGTCAGGTCCATGCACCCATCCCTGTGTGTCTGGCAAACTCAGCGGCTGTACAGGTGAGTCCCTACAGCCAATGCACTGCCATACACAAATATAGGCTTGCCTGCACGCAACTTGTCTCAAGTACAAAAATATAAACATACAGCCCCTAACATTCTACTGGGCTGACCACCCAATGAATGAGCCAATTCTTACAGCTGTCACCAGAGACTTCTAAGAGAGGATTTCACTACTTTTGGAGAAATTTTACTCCCCCTGTTATTTCTTAAAAAAAAAATTAAATTTAAATCTCCCCAAAGAGACACCATAACTGTAAAAGACTGACAGGGGTTTTAAGCAATTCATATGTTACTAATAAAAACTCAGTTAAATTCATTGAGCATCTTCTGTTTTCAAGCAGACCTAACCTACCCACTTGTGCAGAGAGTGGAATAATGAAGCACAGTCACTGTGCAGTACTAAGTAGGAAGGAGAGCCTGTATGTGTAATGAGAAAATATAGCTGCCTGTGTAAAAAAATAAAAAAAAGAAGAAAAAAAAGGTACACATAGAAACAAGGTTTTTTAACACATCCTCAGGCTAATCAGAATGACATACATATCTAAAAACACTGTAAAAAAAAAAAAAAAAAAAAAAAAAGACTATAGTTTCCCTTTAAATTTAGGTTTGCAACTTATCTATATACATTCCATGCAATTATTAGTTTACTAGACCAAAATGTTCAGCAGGTGGTGGGATATGTCTCCTTTAATAAAGCAAAATACACTAGTGGTCTTAATTCTTACAGCTCTGCATAATGCACTCCTAAATGGATTCACTTCAAGAAGACCCTGGCAGTCTAGATGACTTAACATTTCATTGTAGTCCTGAGTCCACCAGAAACATACATCTTCCTCTAAGTTGTCAGTTTATTTTAAATGAAAAGATTTGTTCTTTCAGGACTCCAAATCTTCTCCTACCATGATGTTATACAGACAGTAATATACTGTCATTTTGCACATGGCAATGTTAACCCTTCGTATTATTGCTTTATACTGTAAATGTACATAATGAAATGCTCTTCATAATGTACCACTGTCCAGTTTATCCAAGTGGGTCTGTCTATTTTATAGCTGCAACCCATTTACTTGGCTGAGTTTTATACCTGCAGCTGTTATTTAAGTGGCAGAGGTCTAAAAAACTGATGGCAAATAAGATTCCAATGATCAGATGTCCTGCGGGCAGTCTGAAAAAGTTATCTCCTGGACAATTCTCACATATTATCCTAGAAAAACTACAATGCAACAAGTGAACAAGAAATAAAGTAAACAGAAAATGCCAAAACATGTCCCCAGGAAATCTAGCCCACAATGAATGCCTTCTGCTACTACTTATTTGAAGCTTTCTACAAGTCCAGTTCTAGGTCTTCAATTTCTTCCTCTAATGCTTTCCTCCTGGCCAGCTTGTCTAACTGCTCTTTGGATGGCTGTTTAATCTCTCCGCAGTCTATTTTTTGCTGTAGGTCCTCCACCTGTCGAAGCTTCTTACGGAGATTCTTGAGTTTCTTTGCCTTCTCAGCTGCTGGGTTCTCGTTAGCCGTTTTGTCCTTTGCTTCTGTGGTTTCTGAAATGTTAACCTTCTCTAGTTCCTGCCTGGCCTCATCCACTGCCTCCCGCTCGCCTTTTTCTTGTTTTCTTTTCTCCTTGCGCTTCAGATTCCGTTTGGCTGCCTTAGAAAGGGTGGTTTCTGTTTCTGGTTTTGTGGACTGCTGCAGCTTATTAGCAGGGGGCTCTGTATGGCTCAGGCCTGGTGGAAGTGAAGGCTTGCTTTTGAAAAACTTGACATACTTGTTTTCATAACTGTAAAAGAAGACATTAAAATATTTTGATTAAATGCAGTACAAACAAAAACTTTACAAAAAAAGACCTGTATACAAATTTTTCTGTGGAGATTTTTTAATATACTTTCATCAGCTTAGCCACACCAATACTGGGCACTTTCACCCCCTTCCTGCCCAGGCTAATTTTCAGCTCTCAGCGCTGTCACACTTCGCATGACAACACTGAAGCCAAACTACATTCTTACCATTTTGTTCACACAAATAGAGCTTTCTTTTGGTAGTATTTAATCACCACTTGGTTTTTTAGTTCTTGCTAAAAAAAAACAAAGACCAAAAATTTAAAGAAAAAAAAAAAAAAACCTGCATTTTTCTTAGTTTCCATTATAAAATTTTCTAAATAACTAATCTTTCTCCATAAATTTAGGTCAAAATGTATTCTGCTACCTTTTTGTGGTAAAAATAACTCATTGCTAGCAGCTATAGCTGCTGAAAATAGTCTCATGAAAAAGTGCAACAAAATCAGTATATATTATTTGGTATGTGTGAAGGTTAAAGAGTTCACAAACTGTGGTATATATATCTGAAAATCGATCAACCCTGATGTACTGATGGCCAATTTATTTATTTACTTCAGGTACTTATATAGCGCCATCAATTTACGCAGCGCTTTTCATTCACATCAGTCCCTAACCCTCAAGGGGAGTACAATCTAAGGTCCCTAACTTACATTCATATATACATACATATACTAGGGCTAATTTAGATAGGAGCCAATTAACCTACCAGCATGTCTTTGGAGTGTGGGAGGAAACCGGAGAACCCGGAGGAAACCCACGCAGGCACAGGGAGAATATGCAAACTCCAGGAGGTGATGCTGTAGCTGGGATTTGAACCAACGACCCTAGTACTGCAAGCCAATCTCATTTCTTAAGGCCTGAAAACAACCGGACAGTACAAATATTCCCCAAATTACCCCTTTTTGAGAAACATAAAATAGTGGAATGTAATCACATGGCAAGATTTTTGAAGTTGTAATCTTTTTGTCAAAATATTTTGGAAAATTAATTTAAAAAACTTTTTTTTTTACATTTGTTTTTTACATACTGTCACTAGTTCAGAACAGCGTTGTCATATAACTGGTGTGGCAGTGACCAGGGGCAGTGACCAGGGACACTGACTGGTGAGAGTATGTAAAAAAATATATATATATTTTACAACTTTTTTCTTTCTTTTTTTTTTTTTTTTTACATGCTGTGACCAGAGCAATACACATTATGATTGCTTGTAACAGTGAATTTCACTGTTGTAAACAATCATTTTTACCGAGTGAAATCAATTCATGGAGTGTGATTTGTTGTGCTTAGCTGTGATTGGCCACACCTAAGCACAAGGTATGGATGGACTGTGATTGGCCCTGCCTGTACCATGTGATCACTGGGGACCATTCACAATGAGCAACACAATAGCACACAATGTATAGCATGAATGAAAACCATCAATTGTGTACAGCTGTCATGCGATTTGCTGGTATTGGCAACAGCAATCACATGGTACCAGCAGCGGGCCGATACAGTGATCTGTCATCGGCTGTGTCTGGTGGACACAGCAGGTGACAGCTTGCACCACAGCGCAGACTGTGGGCGAGCATGAGGCGTGTTCTGGGGAGGACGTCCTAGGATGTCCACCCAGAATGAGAGAGCTCCCGCTTGGCTGTCATTTGTCTATAGGCTGGGCGGGAATTAGTTAAAACGAACTGAATGAGCAAAGTGACAGTGTCTCTTTAAAATCTTGTGTTCACACAGAACTGCTGTGGGTTTAAATGTAGCTAAGAAGGAAGTCAAAAGCACCGCTGAAGGAATCCAGATGCATCTTAAACTGCTCTGACATGCACTCCCTAAGAGACTAAAGCTCGCCATAGACAGTTCGAATCTCGGCCGGTTCAGCAGGGATTGCCCGAGATTCGAACCGCCTATGGGTAGGCTGATTGTACCCATTTCGATTGTTGCACTTTTTCATGAGACTATTGCCAGCAGCTATAGCTGCTAGCAATGATTATTGTGTTCTCCTGGCAGGGACGACTAAACCCTCCCCCCCCCCTCCCAATTCCCACAAGGAGAACACAATAGCTCCGTGGGAGGGAGATACTGACTGTGTTAATGGGGGAATCAAGCAATTTTCTTTCCTGCAACCACGGGCTAACAATCGCATTGTCTATGGCCTGCCTAAGGCTACCTTACAGGGGATTTATCAAGCAGGTATGGTGGACCACTCTCAAGTAAAATAGCTTGAATGCTGCAGACTACTCTATATACTTGTAAGCTTGGTTTACAACCAGTTAGTGCTGAAAGTAGAGGAATTGGCAGGGTGTGGCAACAGTCTGATTCTGCCATCAGAGTTCAAACCTGCCCAATTATTAGAGACATGAGACTAAGCGGTCTGATTTTCTGTTGTTGCAGAAGCATACCGTATATTCCATAGCTTCAGGACCAGCCTTTCTGAGCCTTTTTAATAAAGAGGAACCCTTGAAAACAATGTTTATGTCTTGGGGAACGCCTGCTAAATGATTACATCTCTAGCTCACAGCCCATATGCATGGTCGTACAGCGCTATATAACTTAGAAAATAATAATGGATCAAACACAGATGATAAACAATAAAAACAGTGACTGTGTGTTAATAAAGCCACTGGATGGTGGCTATGAAGTGAGGGAAGTGAAACAGTCCAATGGAGGAGTGCTCTTAAGATCCAGGATGATCCTCAGACGTCCAATATTAGGAACCGTCAGGTGACAGAAAATGTAAAGATTGCGCACTCACCAGATACGCAATCTTTCTGCGCATTTGTGTAAAATATCACTGGACCTCCTGTGTCATCATCCTGGTCTGGTCAAATCTGGTCAGCATATCCTTCTTTGCCTGGTACCCGGATAGATGCAGCTATTCCATGGATCTGGCTGGTTCCCACCAGAACTCAAATAAATAGAAAGGGCCACATAGTGTGATATCCTTAGGTATCTTTATTATAGGCACAGGATAGCAGGAAAACCAACATACAAAATAGTACTGACCAGATGCAAATCAAAGATGGCCGCCGGAACCCCTCGTGGCGCCGGCGGTGAGGCGTCCAACCTGCTGTAGCTTTGCTGACGCGTTTCGAGCGAAGGCTCGTACTCATATGGCTGCAGCTTACAGTGGTGGACGCAAATGGCAATGTTTAAATACGTATTTAAACATTGTCATTTGTGTCCACCACTGTAAGCTGCACCCCTATGAGTACGAGCCTTCGCTCGAAACGCGTCAGCAAAGCTACAGCAGGTTGGACGCCTCACCGCCGGCGCCACGAGGGGTTCCGGCGGCCATCTTTGATTTGCATCTGGTCAGTACTATTTTGTATGTTGGTTTTCCTGCTATCCTGTGCCTATAATAAAGATACCTAAGGATATCACACTATGTGGGCCCTTTCTATTTATTTGAGTTCTGGTGGGAACCAGCCAGATCCATGGAATAGCTGCATCTATCCGGGTACCAGGCAAAGAAGGATATGCTGACCAGATTTGACCAGACCAGGATGATGACACAGGAGGTCCAGTGATATTTTACACAAATGCGCAGAAAGATTGCGTATCTGGTGAGTGCGCAATCTTTACATTTTCTATCACCTGACGGTTCCTAATATTGGACGTCTGAGGATCATCCTGGATCTTAAGAGCACTCCTCCATTGGACTGTTTCACTTCCCTCACTTCATAGCCACCATCCAGTGGCTTTATTAACACACAGTCACTGTTTTTATTGTTTATCATCTGTGTTTGATCCATTATTATTTGCTAAGTTATATAGCGCTGCACCCCCCCTTTTTTTTACATTCATGTCCTTGAAGGTTTGATACGGTGCCTTTTTGGTGTACAGCTGCTGCTCATTATTATATCTATTCAAGCGCTCACTTATTTTTGTTTTTCTTGATCATATGCATGGTCAGTCAGTTGCAAATACAATAATGCATAAAAGAATAAAGATTGTAGAGTATCTAGCATATTTGACACCGACTGCACAATCTCTTACAAATTTATAGAAGAGTTGGAATTTGATCCACTTTGGATGCATCAGAAGCAAGTTACTTAAACTTTATGCAGCAGTGGATAATAGAGGGAGAAGCTAGTATTTCCATATTGGCTGTGCAATGTCTGAAAGCTTTTATAGCTTTTAGACACTGGAGAACATCAATTGTGATCATGCCAGTACATGTGACATTCCACGTTTTACAAGGCTTTTCTGGTCTATAAACATATTTGGGTGTCAGGGTTACCATGAGATCACATGCAAGCGCTACAGGTCCTTCTGTGGGCAGTTCAAGTGGATCAAAATGTACAGGCTTTCAAACTTAAAGCAGAACTAAACTAAATATAAATTAAATATACTCACCTCCAGCTTCGAGCAATGCTGCAGTTACACCCCTCGCCGGCCGATGTCATCTTCTCATCGGGTGCCTGGTTTTCGGGCTCTTGACTGGCCGGTGAGGGATGATGTCATCCTGCATATGCGCACAGGAGTCAGTCATTCCAGCACAGTCGGGAGTGCATGCTGAGCTGCACATGTGCAGCTCCGTGTATATTCGATAAAAGACTGCGAACAGGCAGGTAAGTGTGTATTCTTGCAGAAGAGACATAGCATGTCTCTTCTACAGTAAACAGATGCCTGCTCGCAGTTAGGTTTAGTTCAGCTTTAAAACCTGGAGGAAAGTGAAAATCCATCTCCAGGTTCCTTAACGATTCCAATTCTGGGTAGGGGGACCACTGTTCCAGTGTGATACAAACCCCAATGTCCCCACCCCTGGGTCACGGTCCACAGCCAGAACCACCCCCCACCCTCGTCACAACGAGGTTTCAAACCAAGAAACTCTTATGAAACCAGATAAGAAATGGAAACACAAACTGTTTTTCTTTGTAAAAATGTCATAAGCAGAGATATGATCAGGGCTGTCCTTATGAAGACACTATGAAGCCCACAACTAAACAATCTTTAGAACCATGAAATGTCAGAGCATTTGGGGAGTAGACATAGTTAACTCCATGTCAACGGGTAACTGAAACCTTTGTGACCACACCAAATTTTGCAGTTTTTGTGTGTCAGTTAATTTAATATTGATTAACCACTTAGACCACAAAGATATTCAGACAAATTTTATAGGACGTGAGGTTTTAGGTGGATGACGATCTTAAAAATACACGGAAATCAGAACTAAAAACAATGTGTTAAAAAAAATTCACATTCATCCTAAGTTTGATGCATTTTATTTTAATAACCAATACCATACTAAATATGTTCCCTAAAATATATAATATAATATATATATATATATATATATATATATATATATATATAATTTTTTTCCTAATTCAGGTTTCAAAGACTCTAAATACTGTATGTTTAGGTTTTGATACAGATAATAAAAGTGGCTTTATCTTATAATCAATAGCTTCAACGCACTAAAAATTTCAATTGCATCACGTCATCGATAATAAAAAAAAATACATCAGAATAATCCATGAACATTATAGTGTAAAAGTAGCTATTTCTTATAAATTACTGGATTATAGATATACTCCACAAGGGTGGTTTAACTGAATTATGGGCTTTAACCACTTCAAGTCTGGACACTTTCCCCCTTCCAGTCCAGGCCAGTTTGTAGCTTTCAGCTCTCTCAGACTTTGAATGCCAATTACTCAGGCATGCAACATTGTATCCAAATTTTTTCATCTGAGACAAATGGAGCTTTCTTTTGGTGGTATTTAATCACCACTAGGTTTTCTACTTTTTTGCTATATAGATGAAAAAAAGACCAAAAATATTGAAAAAAAAAATGTGTTTTTATTATAAAATAATCTTTCTTCGTAAATCTAGGACAAAATGTATTCTGCTAACTTTTTTGGTAAAAATAAATAACCCAAATCAGTATATATAAAAAAAAAAGATTATAATGTAAAAACATTTATTTTTTTTACATTTTTATTTTTGTTTTATTTTTTTACATACCATAACCCTAGCAGTACAGTGTCAAGGATCTCTATCGCCATTTTGAAAATGTGCTCTATGGGTGTTGGTGGTGTAATAATTGTACTGGGATCCTAGATCCACCTTTTTTTTTTTGGATACCAAGCAATCTTTATAGACAATATATGGCTGGTGTCCCAAATCCAATAACTAAATGGAAATGTGTTGCTAGTGATGCTATATCTATTTTTGAAATCCATTGGGTTGTAGGATGTTGCTATTTGAGTAGTCCTCTACAAGTGTTGCTGATTTTGAGCCCCTGCCCATGGGCCCTGCAGGCGCATGTTGTTGGACACACATTGTCACACATGTAAACACAAGTTTTTGTACAAACGAGATTCAAGGCCCTGAGGAAGCGCTATTTTCCGCAAAACGCTTCGGCCAATTAAGACTAGGATCTTTTGAACAGTTATATGGTTATATTCCAAGCGACATTATTCATTTTATTAGATTTTTATGATGTGTATTTGTGATACTAATAAACGTAAATAATAAAATATTGCTTTTATATATACTGATATCTGTTCTTGTTTTATACCTTGGGAGGCACATTTACAGTCCCAACTCTACGTGCTGTTGTCTCAGATAAATATTGAGGGATGGTACCTACAGAGGGAATATTAACCTTCCTAGCGGTAATCCAGAGTGTGGCTGGGGGTTAATTTACAGTACCAAAAGCAGTAACCCCGAGCCACACTCAGGATTACACTATAGTGCTTCTCCTGCGATCCCTCAATCCTTACCTTGTCCTGCGATCCCGCGATGTCCTCCTGCTGTGCCCTCCGGCCATGTCCTACGGCCAATGCTGGCATCCGTCTTCCGGGTTCCGTTCCCTGCAAGAGTCGGGACATAGGACGGCAGAATCGGCGGGAGATTCAAAACAGTAAAAATATGGCACACACACAATACATTGTAATCTGTTAAGTATTACATTACTGTATCAAACCATTTAACCTAAATTTTGTCCCTAGTGCTTTGTCCAGTGCCCTGCCTGCACTTTTACTGTTCTTTCTGCCTGGAAACTTGAGAACGTCCATGGCATCCAAAAAGCGTCCCTTTAGGTCAAAAGCAGTTTTAGACCAGCAAGAACACAGTGATAGTGAATTAGAATCACTTGCAGAATTGAGCGATAGTGATTTGGCGGAAATTCGTCATCAGACAATGAAAACGATTCTGCGATTGAGCTCAGTGATGTGCAAACTTGGTGTTCTATTTCAAATTTCAGTTTATTTTGGTTTGATTACCTTATTGAATTAAATTTATTATTATATTATTATTTTTTATGATTTATTATATTATAATTTAAAATTTCATGTTTCAAACGATCATGTTTACTAGACTCTTGTTTGGACAGATTTAAGTGAGTTATTCCTAAGAATTACAGGCCTACAATATAAAACAACAAACTTCCATGCAAAACAAATGTACCGCTTTGACATTCAAAAATATTGATTAGTTAGACCACCATGGAGGTTAACCCTATACCTATCCTCCACATATGCTTTTTTATTTCATCCATAAAGACCGAGTCTACAGGTCTGCAACCCAGGCGAGTGCAAGGTAGAACATGTCAGAATAAGCTCGAGTGTGATTGACTGTGCGACTCCCCACCATATTGCTACACAATGGGCTTCCTGGGAATTAAATTGTCACACCTCATACTGGTCATCAGTTTAGAGGTAAACTGTGAACAATGGGCAGCTTAAAGTTAGCCTTGAATAATGAACTGGCACTCCCGGGGTGGGGTTCTGGAAGCGATCCAGTGATTGCACAGCCTTCAGATCGCTACCATCAGATAGCTGACTTATCAGATTTATACACACTCCCGGAGGATGCAGCCACTGGAAGTGTGTGTAAAACCCCCCAGCCAGTGGTGGCAGTATAAGGGTTAAAGGCTACAACAAGCTACATTTTGAATTAAAATAATGCTTACACAGGAACTTCTTCTTGAGGCACATAGCCATCCTTTACTTTCCGCTGTTTCCGCCATGTGCCATCTGGACGCTGAGTGGCTGCTATGTATTTCCCTACAAACAAAAAGCAACACAAGAACAAAATAGTAACTATATTTATCATAAACACATTTTTATTTGGCATGAGCGCACTCTTATCAATAGTCTTTCTTCTGTATACATAAACAATTCTAACAGATTTACATGCCTATAACAACTCTAGAGAGAATCAACCCAAGCCCAACGTGCATATATTAAACTAAAATACAGAACAAGTAACTGGTTAAAGTGTTTAATGTCTCATTACCTACCATACAAATAAACAGAAAGAAAAACATTTAACAGTCATCAATGCATAGTATGCTAGATAAGGGTAATAAAGTCAAGTAAAGAAGCAAGGTAAATGCCCAATATTAAATGCAATCTTCAGTTTGGTCATCTCTACAAGCCTGCCATTGGCATGACAAGTGCTAGATTAACCAACTGACTTCCTTCACCAGGGAAAGTAAACTAAATGGGCTGGTATGGTATGAATGGTGCTGTGCACACAATCTTCAAACAGGCATGAGACAGTCAAAACTGCCAAATTCTAACATCACACTCTTTGGCATGCGATTTGGACTCCCACCGGGGCCTATTTCCCCCTTTCCATGCCCTTAGGTCCATTTTACACAATAATCAGCTGGTATAAGAGCATTTGCAGTGCTTTTGGCACGCTTTGACCAACATTGTTGAAACCCTTAAAGTGGTTGTAAAGGTTGAAGGTTTTTTAACTCACTGCATTCTATCCAAGGAGGTAAAAAAAAGAAAACCTTCTGCAAAAAGCTCCCCCCGCAGCCTGTCCTAAATACATACCTAAGCCCATTCTCGATCCAGCGATGTGTGCAGGAGGCGATGATCTCCCATCTCTCTCGCTCCTCATTGGCTCAGATACAGCAGGAGCCCAGAGTGCCAGTGAGGGACCCCAGAAGAGGAGGATCGGGGCTGCTCTGTGCAAAATCATTACACAGAGCAGGTAACTAGAACTTTTTTTTTTTAAATCACAAACGTTTAATATCACTTTAACCCAGGGTTCACCCTTATGTGGATTTCAGTTACTAAATTTTAACAATTTAGAAACCACCACCCTGCATTTTATTTTAATTAGGTATAGCTCACTTTATGTGGGGTCCAACACTGGGGCTGGGTACACATGGGCCGAATATCAGTTTAACAGAAACCCATCAACAATCAGTGTACAGATGTCTTTGTGACAGATACCGGTCTAATGACTGGCTTTTGTCAAAGGGACATGCTGGAAAACATTTCCCCTCTCAGCACACAAAGGCACAGAAGGAGAGATCTCCGCATCATGAGTGTTAGTACAGTAATCTGTCAGGTTTTTTTTTCAGGCCACTGGGTTGAATGGAAAAAAAAGGAACAGATTTCTCCATCCACATAAGCAAAGTGCATGAAGGAATCTAGCCCCCTGCCTGCTGCCCTTCCTTCCCCAGAACATTGCATACTGACAGAAGGACTCTTTGCTGTCAGAATACACTGATCAGGTGCTGCAGCCACTGTTCTAAAAAGGTTTTCCAACATTCCCGACCAACTTCTTTAGACAGCTTTTGAATCAGCTATGACACCTTATTAGAAACATTTAAAAGGTAAGAAACACACACTTGTTCATTTTTAGGTACGCTGCATGATTGGGAACGCAGAGAAAACATATATTGGGGTTTCAAAACTGCAAAAGTGGAAATACCCTTTAAAGCACCATTCAGCTCCAGTTTAGGTAAGTAAAAAACATCTTAAAGTAACACAAAAGGATCAGTTTTAAAAAAAGCAAACAGACATGTGATACTTACCTGCTCTGTGCAATGGTTTTGTGCACAGCAGCCCCGATCCTCCTCTTTTTGGGTCCCCCGCTGGCACTCCTGACTCCTCCCCCCTGCTGAGTGTGTGCTGGCTCCCAAACCCTGGCTCCCGATGTTGTGTCTCAGCGAATGTGGAAAGAGACCCAGGAGGGCCGCTGCTCCCATGCACAGCACTGGATCAAGATGGGGCTCAGGTATTAGGGGGGCTGTGGGGGGAGCAGCACACAGGTTTTTTACGCTTATGCCTAGAATGCATAAAGGTAAAAAACCTTCAGCCTTTACAATGACGTTAAGGAAATTGCCAACTTTCAATTTAAACTCTTAACTGCCAATGATATTTAGAATATTTCATGGAGGTAAAGCAAGCTCATTTTTGTTTTGCTCAGCAGGCTTTTGGCACCAGGTACTTGCTGACTATTCACTTTTACCAGGCTTGGTATGTGCGTCCCCACCAGACACCATTCAGCCCTGAGCACTTCTGGGTTCAGAGCTGTCAGAATCTGGTGGCTCTGACCAGGAAAACAAGGAGATCAAACAATGTATGAGTTTGATCTTCTTGACCTTAGTGCAGAGAAGGCAAAGGGGTCCCTTAATAGACCCCTGAGGCCTCCATGCAGAGAACCTGTCATTCCATATATATTATGAAATAGGGGGCTTGTCAGCCCCCTTATGATAGCAATACATGGAAAACAATTAATACAGGCTTAAAAAAAATAATTAAAAAGGACTAATTTAAATTAAAAAACACAATAACAGCACTCCCTCTACCTATGAATGCAAATACAAACATAGGGCACACATACATGTGTAGACAATGATTATGCAACACATTAGTGTACCAGAGTGAGAGGAACATTTCTAAGGTCATATAGTTAACACTAAAGTGATGAGCTGTAAAGGCTCTTAAAACATCAGCTACAGACAATTTTGAGTATCCTGTTTTTCCCCATTTTGCAGGCACACACAATTTTATGGCTTGGCATTTTTAAATCAATCTTCCCTATATGATCACATCTTTTAACTGTTTTACACCCACTGCTGTAACTACTATGATGATGGCAGTAGCAACATGTAAACAAACTTACAGCTGCAACAGAAGTTGTGTGTTTTTTTGTTTACTTATTTTTTTTTTTTAAAACCATTAACGGCCTATATTTTAGCAGCAATATGCCAGCTATACAGCTATCATTTGTATGGCGCTTTGTTTGGGCTTTCAGTTTTACATCATTGCATAATTGATATCCATTTAGTCTTTGGGGGTTTAGGTAATCTTCAGGCCTAAGATGTGCATTTTAAAGTGGATTTAAACCTAAAAAAAAAAATGCTGGCAGTTAGATTTCTATATCAGCCGAAAATGAGACAACATTCCTCTCCCACGAATCTATCAACTGGTCTCCTCAATTCCCAGATGTTTACAGGATGTTCTTAAAAGAAGAGAGGATGCTACACTGTGGTAAATATGGCCCTGTCCTAACTTTAAAAGTAAGCTAATTTTAAAATTGATTTTTAAACTGGTACATTTTCTCAGTTTAAACATATATGTCTTCTATTTTCTATTGTGAATAAAATATGGATTTATGAGATTTGCAAATCATTGCATTGTTTTTATTTGGATTTCACACAGCATCCACACTTTTCCGGAGTTGGGGTGATACATACAAGTAGAATAAATATTGAACACATCACCATTATTCTCAGTAAATATATTTTAAAAGGTGCTATTGACATGAAATTTTCATCACGTTGGTAACAACCCAAACATACAAAGAAATCAAAACAAATAAGTTCAGAAATTAAGTTGTGCGTAATAAATGGGAAGACACCAGCTGAAATTATCATTAATTATAAAGCAATCATGCCCCTTGTCAGTGCAAATTACTATCAGCTGGTTCAGTCCCAAATGATGGCCTATAAAAAGGTGTCTCATTAACAAAGTGTCACACTAAACATCACATGATGGGTAAAAGCAAAGAGCCCTCTCAAGACCTTCACAACCTTATTGTTGTAAAATATACTGATGGCATTGGATACAGAAGGATTTCTAAACTTCTGAATGTTCCAATGAGCATTGTTGGGGCCATAATCCGCAAGTGGAAAGAACATAATTTCATCAGAAACCGGCCATGCCTAGGTGATCCTTGCAAGATTTCTGACAAAGGAGTGAAAATGATTATCAGAAGAGATGTCCAAGAGCCAAGGACCACTTGTAGAGAGCTTCAGAAAGACCTGGAATTAGCAGGTAAAACTGTTTCAAAGAAAACAAGTAATACACTCAACTGGCATGGCCTGTATGCATGCTCACCATGCAAGACTCCATTGCTGAAGAAAAAGCATGTTAAAGCTTGTTTAAAGTTTGTTGCACAACATTTCGACAAGCCTGTGAAATACTGGGAGAATATAGTCTGGTCAGATGAGACCAAAATTGAACTCTTTGGATGCCATAATACACAACATGTTTGGAGGTGAAAAGTCTGTTTACACTGTGGTAGCTTCTTCAAAAAGAGGCAGAGTTCCATAAAGCAGAACTCCATGTAATTTTTTTTTCCCATGCTTGTTTAGTGGAAAAGAAATACTTACCCTGACCTCCGATCCTCCAGAAAACCGTGCTCCTCCACATCCAGCGGTGGACTGTTTTTGCCATCCCCATACTTAGAGCCGGTCTATGGGCGTGATGATGTCAGGAACAGTCCATTCACAAGACAACTAGCATGCAGGGGGAAGAAGTGGCAGGGACCGGTCTTGCACTCCGAGAACAGGCAGAGTATATAAACTGGTAAGTATAGACCTTCTCTCTTATGACCCCTAGACAAAACCAAGCAGATGGCCCATGCAGTGCGGGCACAGTTCCCCGGCATGGTCCAAAAAACGTTTTGTCTGAATTTGTGCTTTAAAATGCTAGTAGGAGCATTCAGAGTTTCAGCTTAAAGATTTTTAAAGACCATTTAATGGAATGAAAAATAAAAGGAGTACAAGAAAAGATATTGACACAGACAACAGTGAAAATAAAAGGATTTAAAAATACCTAGCCCACCTGCTTATTAGTAGTGTAGAGCTCAGAAAACTAAGATTAAAGAGGAACTTTACCCTTTTTGAAAAACAAATTAAAAGTCAGCAGCTACAAATGCTATACCTGCAGACCTTTAAAATAAGTTACTTACTAGTCCCAGAGTCCAGAGCTGTCTTTCCGCAGCCAATTCCTTCTTACCGCTGCAAGTCCCC